TAATAATGAGCATCAGTTGATACAAACCCAAGCTAGTTATAATAACTAGGCTAAGCAAATCGAAGTAACATGTGCTGCGTCTTGATGGTGTATAATGATAAGACCACAAGAAACAAAAAGGAAGACGAGATAGTCACGTTACCATTTCATGACAAGAGACAAAAATGAAGGAGAACTAGTAAAAGCGCTGGTGCCTCAAACAGCAGAGGATATGCGTCTGTAGAACACGACGAAGACTTCTATGTCTGCGCGTGGAAAGGGGGCAAATATTTGATGGCTCAGGAGAGGACAACACAGTTTCGATGATTACAACGATGGATTGAGGTGAAAAGACTGCGACTGCGCGACGAATATCTCATTGGGAGATGCGATAAGGAATGGGGAATGAGTGATGATGGGCGATGGAAGGGATGAACTTACTACCAGCGAGGCTTCTCGAAATACAGTCGACAAAATTGGTGCAAGATGAAGAATTGCTTTGTGTGTCTGCCCGGGTCAGCATATATTGTGAGAAGGGAAAAGGATTGCTGCGATGAGGAAGACTTGGACACAAGATAAATGGACTTACCGAGATAGGAGTGCAAGTGTTTGCAGTTTCTGATCGGGGATGTGATGGTATGGCGGACGAAGGACAATGTTCAAAAGTTGTTGCTGCAGACGAAGCGCGTTAGTTGGTAAAGGTGGGGCTGGATGGGAAAGGACGGCAAGGTATGAGACGTGCAAGTTGCAAGTTAACAGTGAATGGATCTAAGGAGAAATACTTACTACCAGATTAGAGCTTTGACCAATACTCAAGTCGCGTTGCAGCAACAAGACTTAAGAACTCGCGTGCTTAGACTGAAGTATCAGCAGCGCGCGTCTCACGTCGATGCCAGAGAGTATCAATATCTCTAACTTGTCAAGATATCGTTCCAACTGTGCAACTAGGTGTTAGATGTCAAAGCTGAACTGCGATATTCAAGTTGCCTCCCTAGAATTATTTTCTTCGCATCAAGACCGCACCACTTAATGGGGAGTATGACTAGGGGGTATCTTAGGTAGGCGAGGAATAATCTGAGCACTCACCAAATACCTCCAAATGCCAATGGAGAGAGTTGAATCAAGAGTTGTAAACGAAAGTTGTGGCAAGAGATGATAGATGTGGATGAGATGTGGATGAATGTTGTAGACGAAGTTGTAAAGAAAGCTGTGTGGATGACTAAATAGAGAGTGACACGGAATTAGAACAGGTTAAGTAAGAGTAAGGAAGAAGGAATGTTTTGTAGGACTGGGAAAGGGTTTGGGGGGGACTGGTGATTTTAAATGGTTTGCGCCGGCAACGTTGTATATCTACCGCAATTACATTTAATCAAGAAGGAAGCTAATACTTGGTACTTGCGTAGAGGTGCTCCTCCAGAACAAGTGAATTTAAATATCAGCTGAGGCATGTACAGGAATTGTGGCCCCGAGTTTCCTATTGACGGAAGGAGCAGAAGCACTATTGTGTATCACCTCAAGGGGAAAAAGGGGGGCCCGCAACTTCCTACCCCGGAGTTGTACTTGATAAGCCCACCTTGTATGTACATATCATACTCATACATGCAAGTACCATACCTACCTACCTACCTAAGGTAAGTATGTTTGCCCCCTCGTAGAGTAAATATCTTGTGTGAGTAATCAGTTGTTGAAATTCAGTTGAGATGTTCTCGAGGCAGGCCCAAGTTTGGTTAGTCCGAATATACTATACCATATATATGCGCCTGCCATCTTAAAACTACAAGCTAAACATTTTACAGCCTATCAAAGCTGGTCCATTAATATAAACGGCCATTACAGCTGCCTAGTATTTATATTATTTATATTATTCCATAATTCACTGCTTTATGTTTCAGTACAATCATTATATCATTATGTGAATGTCCTAATGGAGCAATGGGCCAATGGGATACTGATTCAACTCAAAGGGAGCACCTTCCTCAAATTGAGGAGTGTACCTGATCAGTACCTAGGTATGTATCTTAACTTGATTTATTTTCCTTCTTCTTGTAATTGGACCATCTAGATCAAATCAGAATCAGGAGCCTATTATTTCCTATGTACCTGTTAGTGTTATTCCAAGTGAATTCATGGATATCCCTTTGTGTATGATCAACCAAGATCAATTGATAAGCTCTTGTTAATATCCAAAATCAGTTTACTGCCAATCATAGAAATTTGTATGGACCCGATTTATCAACCAATCTAGGCCAAGCTATTCAAAATATTCACTTAACAAATTGTGATTGCCATTTTCTTACATGCCATGACTCATGGTACAAACTTGAATAGAAATTACAAACTAATCAGTATTAATATCCTGTTCATGATTTTAACCCTGAAAGTGAATGGTAATCGAACATTCCATAGCTTCGTTAATAACTATTTTTGATCAATTTTGAATTATGTAGGTTATTCAATCTTAACCTTCAATGAATGGAATATACCGTGTCATCTAGATTGGTACCATGCTCTCCTATATGGATTATTAAATGATACTATAACGTAGAAGAGGTGGCGGGAATCGACAAGAATGATGATCCTTGGTGTATCTAATCATAAAATTCAGGAAATAAGTATGCTCATGTGAAAATACCCTACGGAGACGTTATATTGTGATATTGGAGTATTTAACCTATATAAATTAGGAAACAAAGTTTAGGAGCGCATATATAATCTATATTTTCGAATAGGATGGTATTGGTATCTATAGTATTGATTGTACAAATATGTTAGAGCTGTGACCTTTTGCCGTCTAGATGCTTCGGAGGCAACTGGTTTGATTGGTCCCTACCAAAAAGCTTGTGTTAGGGTAGATTATAGCTCTAATTAGGTGCCGATAGCAAATACTAAGATGATGAAATTTGCCTGGAAAATTCTGTTACATATGGCTTTGTTGACCAAAAGCAGACATTTGCCCACGACACTGTTGTTTAGCGTTGTGAATAGAACAGTAATAGACATGTTATTATTATTGTAGGGCAATAAAGAAGGGGAATCGTATATTCTGATTTGATAAATAGGTACACAAGGAGTTAATTTTCGTCTCAAAAATAGATTTTAGTATTGCAGAAATTATATTGTAGACCAGAGAAACAGGCAGGTTGATGCTATTTTGAATATTATTCCTGATCCGTCCTGAAACTCCAGGCATAAATAACGAGATATGATAGGTTTTGATAAAATAGTAAAATTGAGTATTGGGCATGAATAGTCACGTCATGTCTACTTATATAGGATGCTATTCCTCGGCTACAAAAATTCCTTACATTATCTTAAATGTTTCGTAAACTATCTGGGATCTTGCTGACAAAGGTTTTGAGGAAAAATTGTTAAATTTCTTAAAAAAAGTAAATTGAACAACTTAAAATAGATATCTAGCACAGACTTTCTATACTCGTGAAAATCCCATTTTGGGATTGTTTTGGTCAGGTTATGTACTAGTCAGGGGAAGATAAACGTAGCAGGTGGCTGGATGCACATGACAGACCGAAATAAATTCGCATTACTGCTGGTTAAATCCAAATGCGTATCTTGTCTACTAGATAGGTGATATATAGGGCCTTGTAGGAACCAAAATTATAGTCATAATTGATACGTGAATAAATATATATGCTACTTTAAACCTCATAACTCCACTGGATCCCATTAAAGGGGCTCCACCACAGCATACCAGATGAAGACTTTTGGACTAGATGCCAATACCCTGCTAGATGGCCTATTTTACGGAAATATACTTGAAAGACGTGAATAACTCAAGAGGGAAACGATTAGCAATATTGTGAACTTTTACTGGATGGATATGAATATACGATAGTATATAATTAGTAAGGCTAGTAAAGTTCCGTCCTTCCAATAGCGGAGCCCGGCTAGGTGGCAACGTTGTTTAAGATATTAAACATACTATAGAAACTATGCAATATTCGACCCCAAACTAATAGGACAAGTGATTAGCCCCGAAGTTGATCCGGCTGAACGAGAGAGGTACTCGTACTAATGAACCTTGCAAAGGGACCAGCGGAGCTACTAAAGAAGGAGTTTTCGTATTTCGGCAACTCTAAACACGATTCCTTTCCTCGCTAGTAAAGTAAGTTGATTTTCTATTTTATCTATTATGCCTAATGTCTACACTAAGTAGAGATATATCAGGATATTTTCCGAAAGCTTGAGTATCCTGGAATGTGATTTTCAAGTACCAGACATGAGCACGTTTCTTACCCACGTAAAAGGCCGGCAATATAATAATCTAGAGTCTCCTGAGGTTATCCGGCAATATAATACGCACTACTCTAACTCGCGCAAAAGCTTGAAGATATCCATCATAGGAATCGTTTCTATGCTCCCCCGTGGTGTATTATTAGAAAAGAAATATTAGACAGAAAGGCGCTTACGTCGTGTATACTGCAGATGGCGCGTCCCCTTATATTGGCGGCTAATTCCAGTCAGCATAAGTGATCCCGGGAAATTGACACATATTTTTCTATTTAAGCGTAGAAGACCTTAACATGTAATTAAGATCCCCGCAATACATACTCAGCCTTAGGTGGCATATATCTATGCCACGTTTTGCTGCAGGGGACATCTGCCAGTTTCGCGAGATCTGCCGATGAATTGAGGCTTACTAGTTCGACTAAATTCAATATATTAGGTAAAGTCATACTTAATAGGTCGTCTAAGGTTATAGAGAAATTGGAATATATGGAGCCGTGATCTAGGGCTGTAAAGTTTTCCCTTGCTCCATTCACGGATCCGGCCCGAGGAGTCTACCTTTACCTTGCTCGTACTCGATGGAGCTGTCTGTTGATACATTGATGTATATTACCTTCTCATCTTTGGCATGTAACCTCGAGCGAGCGAGCCATCTTGTTTGGGGAGGGGGGCGACCTAGGGTGGTCTGTTAAAATATAGATCACTTAAATGATACCCGCTGCCGCCATCATGGGTCAAGCTCAAGCCTCGTGTCTAGTTAGGAGACCTATGATTCCATGATGTCTTTTGCTTCAGTCTCGAGGTTTGGGTTCTTCGCAACTCTGTTGCTCGCAGTAGCTGAGCCGTTTGCTCAGGCACGCCGCTTATCGGAGCTCCAGTTGAGGTTCTTGAACGGCTCAACACAGGTGAAGCCCTCGTATGATTATGTGATCGTCGGAGCAGGAACAGCCGGCTTGACAGTAGCAGATCGTTTGACAGCAGATGGGAAAAGTGAGTTTCAGTGAGATCTAACATTGGACTACTTTGCGTACTGATATCTTAACGTTAGCTACTGTCTTGGTCGTTGAAAATGGCAAAGTAGGTGGGTTACACTCCGATAAAGAGTCGGATATCGAATAGGCCTACTGACGCTCGAACATTAAGTTGATTCCCCTAGAATCAACCAAGTTTTCTCTGGTACTGCTGCCATGGGCCCGACTTGGTCGTATCAGATCAACTCTGTCCCTCAAGTTAACCTACAGAACCGAAGCACGGCTGTTATAGCTGGAAACCTAGTTGGCGGCAGCTCGGCGATTAATGCAATGATGACTGTTCGAGGGACATCTGAAGATTATGACCGATGGGGTAGTTTCTTCAGTAATAACTCTACTTGGTCTTGGGATGGGCTTCTGCCTTACCTGAAGAAGGTAAGGTTTTCTGTGTCCCTCATGGTGATATTATAACTAATCCATTAAGGGTCTTACTTTTGTGCCCCCTGACCCTGCCGTGACGAAGTCCGTGAACCTCACGTTTGATACATCATTCTGGGGTAACAGTTCCAACGTATACGTAGGATGGCCATTCTTCCAGTGGCCTGGTTTAAGTAAGCGACTTGACCTGCCTGGTTTAATATTGTCTACTAACACAAGATTTAGCTACGCAAATAGAGGCCTTTAGAGACATACCTGGTGTTGAGTTCCCCCCCGACAGTGGTGCAGGCAAGGCAGGTGTTTACTGGTTTCCGACTTTCATGGACCCTAAAAAAGTTCAAAGGTCATATGCTAGGACTGGGCATTACGATGGGATTAACAGAACAAATTATGATGTTGTTACCCAGTCTCATGTGACGAAAGTTCTTCTCGAAGAGGGAACTGCCACGGGAGTTATTTTTCGACAAAAGAATGGCAATGCTACCACTTTCACCACAGTCAAGGCCAACCGTGAGGTTATTCTTTCTGCAGGCGCAATCCACTCTCCCCAACTATTGCAGCGCAGTGGGATCGGGCCTAGGAAGCTTCTGGAGTCAGCCGGCTTGAATATGACTGTTGACTTACCTGGCGTCGGCCAAAACTTCCAGGATCACCCAATGCTCCTCATGAGCATTGTCCGTGAGTAACCACTAATATTATAAGTATTTGAAGATGTTAATTAAAAGCCTTTTTTAGTCCGGAACTTTACGACTCACCCAAGCCCATTGGATATGTTTGGTGGAAACAAGAACTTCACTGACTGGGCACAGGAGCTCTGGAGAGCTAACAAGACGGGTAAGCAAAAAAAGGTACGAGATATGCAGGACCCTGAAACGATATTGACATATTTTAGGACCATATTCGATGGGTATTGGCAATGCTGCAGCGTGGCTAGGCATGCCTGTAATTTCCCCTGAGAGGTTCGAAAGCATAGCATCTAAGCTGGAAAATCAAGATCATGCTGCTCAGCTACCCCCGGATACAGACCCAACAGTTGTTGCTGGTAGGTTATTTGAATACTCCATGTTAAGGGACAGGAAAAAGACAACAAATGAATGGGAGAAACTGACATCGATAAATAGGGTATAGCGCGCAAATGAAGAAGATGGCGGCGTCAATCCGTTCCTCGAACACAGCTTTCTAGTAAGTAGCTACTTTCAGTACAAGTCTACACCACGTATACTATGTCTAGGCACGTTTCTCGCCTTAGAATATTCTCCCCTGTTTTGATGATGCTTCTTAACTTAAAAACCTTTGCACTTGATAATAGTAACTTACCACGCATTGTCTAGTAACCACGTCCTAACCGGAGCCGGGTCCTCAGGCACATTGGTAGATTTGCATCCACTTAGTCGCGGTACAGTGAACATCAACACCGCAGACCCATTCAACACAGAACCCATAGTTGACTACAGGGCCCTTACTAATCCTGTCGATCTCGATATCATGATCGAGATGCTCCGGTTCACTAAGCGATATTTCTTCGAGACAAGACTAAAGGAGCTTTCCCCCAGGCAGGTACAGCCACCCGACTACGTTAACGAGCCCGAAGATCTGGCCGGCTTTTTGGCGCAGAACCTTAGTCCTTCCGAGTTCCATCCTTCGGGAACTTGCGCCATGATGCCAAGAGAACTTGGAGGCGTGGTTGATGAGAGTCTGAAGGTGTACGGTGTGAAGAATCTGAGAGTTGTCGATGCTAGTATTATGCCTACATTGCCTGGAGCCAACACTTGCCAGAGTGTCTATGCCATTGCTGAGAAGGTAAGTGACATCTGGTGTGCACGAAGATATCTACTAACGCTTCGCAGGCGGTCGATCTCATCAAGGCTGATTCGTAACTTGAGTGTCGGATATGGATACAGTCGCGAGTACTATATAAACCAATTCTATTTATATCTTGGCGTATATTACGTGAGGCCCGAATGTGCGTGTGTAGCTTTTCGTAAAGTATGGTAGTATCATAGTTCGTTTCTTTGGAGAAACTTGTATGGACATATGTCCTCTACAAGCCCGTGTTTGCTTCCCCTGATATGCCTCCTCTCATATATCATTATGTGATGTTGATACAATAGAAAACATGATAGAAACCTCAAAACGCCTGGCACCCGTTGAACGATAGAGCTGCAATGGTACTTCAGCTCTCTATTTCCAATACTTGTTTCAAACCTGTTTCTGCAGATATAAACCAGCGTCCCCGCTCCTCTAGGTCATCTTGAACACCACCAAGGGCAGCTTCCTTCCGCCTCCGCGCCTCCTTTGCAGCAGTCTTGCTATTCTGCCTCTTTGTCTCGAGGGGCTGTAGCTCAGCTTGCAATCGATCTAGTTCCTTCTTTTTCCTTGGGACTTGGCTTTGCAGTTGTTCTAATTGCCTGTCCAGTTCGGCTTTTCGCTGCTTTTTTGACTCGACCAGGTCCAAGGTCTTGGATAGAGGCAGATTCAGCTCAGGGTTTGGATTTGATTCTGTTTTCTGCGTCTTCTTTAACTCTGCAACTACATTCTCGAGATCTTCAACCTTGCGCGGAAGTTCTTCCAACTTGACCGTCTCAACCTTGATTCTTTCATATTTTCGACTGAGGTCTCTCGCTTTCTCCTCAAGCTCGGTGACCATGGATGCGACCTCAGTTTTCAAGGCCTTTAACGTAGCCTTTGCCTCTAGATTCTCCTTCTCAAGATCCAAGTTTTCTTGGGGGCTAACAATAAGAGGTGGATCGCCCACGATAGCTCGGATGAACTTCTCCTTGGAGACTTGCTCTACATAACTAAATCGCAGCTTGGCGAATAGCTCTCGGTAGTGTGTTAAATCTGCTTCAAGAGAGGATGGTGTAGTTGCATCAAGGGATGAATTAGATACATCAGATGTTCGCTGATGAGCATCCTGTAGATGTGTGACCGCAGCCGATATAGGTTCACTGAGCTTTAAGATGGTGATGTCCTGCTTAGCACCAAGTGTCTGTAACCTAGCTAAGACATGTTCGGCTGAAGGAGGCGCCATCATTGGTGGTGAATGGATTCGTCGCGTGTCTTCTTAAGTAGACTGGATCGGGTCCTGTATTTGGTAATCCTAGTAAAATTGACTAGTAAATTTGAAGTTTTTGTTACTCAAGTATGTACATAGCAAATTACCTTAGGTATAATCAGACTTCAATGCTTTTGACGTCGTCTTGTGTATTTACTTTCGTCTAAGAAAGGAAAGGTGGGTTGTGGATAGTTGGCGTAGTGAGACCCTGCAATTGATAAGTGATAAGAGATAAAGGATAATAAAGGATAAGCGTATTGGACAAACAGGCAGATACCTACACTACCTTAGGTTAGGTAGGTACATGTATGTAACTGGGACATGGGTTTTAATTCTTTTTCTGGTAACTACTTCGTATATTAGGTATAGTTTGGCGCGTTGGCAAGTTCCTTTAATGGACGGGGGACATAGACCCACTTGTCCAACATGTATATGCTGTCCATTTAACTTTGAACCATTCACCCCGCTGACTAGAATCGTACATCATTGCGCTGATTTAACGATCTTATGAACCCTTAGCGATATTCAACTTATTCCTCTTAGATTCCCTTATGCAACCGAAAATGCCTCCCGAAGACCTACTAACAGACGACCAAGTCGCTGAGCTTCTGGTTAAGGAAGCCCAGGATTGCTCTCTGAGATATTCTGCGATGGGTCTAGATGCATTCAAATCTAATAAGTAAGCGCCTAGTCTACCTAATGCATAAATTCACTGTTGTGTCACCAGAGTCTCTGCTCCTCTGTCTTCTCTATCCCTAGTACCAAGTAGCTAACAGCTATACCCTCCAGGCGTCCTGCAAATCAACCTAAACCTAACACCCGATTCCTCAACAATATCATTCGTGACACCAATAGCCATAATCGAGCCCTTCTTGCCAAAGAAAGCGCCGAGTCTAAGGCAAAACTTCGTGACCTCGAAGACGCGGAAGACAAGAAGCGGAGGGAAGAAGAGCTGAGATTGCGCAAGAGCAGGCCCGGACCTAGCGACACTCGAAAGCGTATGCTAGGTGATATCGCTGCCATTCTCGGAGGATCGTCTAAGAGGCGTAGGACTGAAAAGACCGAGGCATCTACCAGCCATGCTTCAGACCCAGCGGCGCCTCATGCTGAAGGTGATAGGAATGTAAGAAGAGAAAAAAGTCGAAGGGACCTTTCGAGAGAACGCGATAGAAGTTCACACCGAACCCATCGCCGAGATGAGGGGAGACGAGAAGACCGGCGCTCGCACAGGGCACGTTCGCCACGACGCGAAGGCCACCATCACCAATCAAGGACCTCAAAGCGCACCCAGCGTCAATCTTCCCAGGACTCGTCTGACTCGGATCCCTTAGACGATATCATTGGCCCTGCGCCGGCTAAAAACTCTACCGTTCATCGACGAGGACGGGGAGCTAACGCCGCCACGTCTGGGATAGACGGCCGTTTTGCCCTCGATTACGACCCAAGCAAAGACGTGACGCCCGAGCAAGAAGACGCAGATGACTGGGATAATGCGGTAGAAGCGTTTCGTGATCGACAAAAGTGGAAACAGCAAGGAGCGGATAGACTACGGTCTGCAGGTTTTACTGAAGAACAAATCAAGAAGTGGGAAAAGGGTGACACTAAGGACGAAAGCGACGTACAATGGACCAAGGCTGGTGGTTTGAGAGAGTGGGACCGTGGCAAAGTGGTTAGTAAGGACGGCACTGTGACCCTGGCAACAAACACCGAATAGAAGATGGCGTCGATCGACTTGCGCATGGTTCGAAAGCATCACAAAAAGCGTGTTAACTTGGGTTTCATTCGTCCATCCTTTAGCGGCGTACGGGATATCATTACATAGTTGCATAGCACGGCACCGCATAGCATAGCATATCATAGCATAGTACGGCGTAACGAGGCATAGCATGGCGTTGATGGCATATCCCACGTGGTGTCACAGGACTGACTTATTCAGTGGGATGCTTGACTTGGAAATGTGATGAGCTAGGACGACTTTGTTTTAATAAACTATACGCTACTCATCTCCCCAACTCTTAAAAGGTTACTACATGTATTAACTTACAAATTAAATAGGCGACCCCTTACTCGGGTTAAAAAAAAACGCACCTTAGTAGTTTCAGCTCAAAGATAAGTTGAAAGGCTGATTCGTAATAAGAAACGGGGGAACAGACACTTACGCAGGTCGGATCATAGAAGTGCTTACGATTTGAAGTCATAGCTATGTTTATAATATTTATAATGTAGGTAAATAAATGTCCATCTAGCTGTGCAAATAGAATTGCCGAAACAGGTAGTGTTTCTAACTTTAAACGAATCAGATCCCACTACAGTTCGTATAACTACATATAGACATTCTTCTAAAAGCGGCTCTTTTCGGAGCGGTGAGTTTAGTACTGAGAAAAGACCGCAATTAAACGTACGACTATTATTTTTATGTGCGGACTATGTTGCGAACGGACTAATTTACGTGAGTTAAATCCATTACTTCGTAATCGTGACCATTGGGGTTGAATATAAAGCGTAACTATATCAACACATCTCCTTCGATATAAATTCTTACATTATGTTTAACAAAATATCTGGCGTATAAATTTGGGGAACTTGGCTCGCTTTTTTTAATAGTTTGTATTGACCATTCGAAAATTAAATAATAGTCAGCAGTTGGTATATGTAAAATCTCGGAGCATAGTCACTGCACGAAGATGCTTTGAAGTTTATAAAAGATAAGAGCCCGAGACAAAACTCTGTAGGTAAGAAACACTCGGACCAAATACTTATCTCCAAGGATTACGATGATTGGTGCATTGCTTTAGAAGCGCATAATGCAATGAGATATGCGGCTGGTAGACTTCAAGTTGTGTAGGTGGACATAAAGGTTATAATGTAAAGATACCCGTGAGCTTACCAGATTCTCGATCTTGAGATTGTGAAGTGCAATAGCGATATGCTGATCTCGACTAGATTGCTAAAAATGGGTTCGTCCGGTATTGAAAAGGGACCGAGAAGGATATAAAATTGCTATTGCGTGTTTGCTCGTGTGATCGATGAGATCATTTCCCCTTGCGAAACATTCGGTATAGTCCACCCACCTTCTCGGCTGTTTCCAAGAGAAGTGATTTGACTTCTAAGAGTCATTTAGGTTCTATATAAGGGACCGTGTAGGTCGCGTCGGTAATGACCATCAGATCAAGCGCACATGCTCAAACTTGGCCGGGTTGAAACATAAAAAAAGAGGAAAAGGGGATCGCGTTGCTTTTAATGTTCGCGCTAGTCCGTCAAAATTGTGACGCAAGCACGCGCTTACTCCTCCCAACTAACCTAATGTACAGTAACTCTAAAGACACAGTACAGATCGACTAAAGAAACAGCACATCCACTTTGCACGTGATGAAAGCCACTACAAGCCACCACAAGCCACCATGCACGGCCATTTAAAACTATACCCAACCCCATGCATATACCCCACTTGCATTGTAACCAAATGAAATTTCGAGAATTGTGAAAGAGGAGGGGGGAAAAAGAGGAAGAAAAAGAGAAAGGAAAAGAAAAGAAAAGAGAAACAAAAGAAGAAAAAAGAAGAGAGAAAAGAGAAAAAAGGAGAAAAAGGGGAGAGAAAGGGAAGAGAGGGAGGGGAAAGAAAAGGGGAGAGGAAAGAAAGGAAAAAAGGAGGAGAAAAAAGGAAGAAAAGGGGGAGGAGGAGAGGAGGGGAAGGGGAAAAGAAGGGAGGAAGGGGAGGGAGAGGGAGAGGAGAGGAGAGAAGAAAAAAGAAAAAGAAAGAGAAAGAAAGAGAAAGAAAGAAAAGAAAGAGAAAGAAGAGAAAGAAAGAGAAAGAAATAGAAA